AAGAGGATTCATCTTTAGACCATGTTTTCTCATCCTTTCGAATGATTGTCATAGATGGTCTATGTGACTTTTTCCTGATACAAACTCAACAACAATATCATAAATATAAATCTACATAAAATTCTCAATAAAGTCATGAAAAATAGAGTTCGATGTTTGTTGATAAGTTGCCCCAGCATTTTTTAGGCCAAAGGGCATGACTACCCATTCATAGGTGCCTAGGGCTCCTAGGCAACAAAATGTTATTTTGGCCACATCTTTGTCAGCAATGAAGATTTGGTTATAACAAAAATACTCATCAAGCATGCTAAGATACCCTAAGCCTGTGGCTAAATTGACCAGCACTTTTTCCACTAGCATGGGGTATTCATCTTTTGCGGTTGTAGAATTTAAATCTCTAAAGTAAATGCAAACACTCAAAGTTCCATTCTTTTTAATTACATGAACTATGTTAGCAATCTATTCGACATACCTTATGGTGTTGATGAACTTACATTTGAGCAATCTTTCAATCTCTTCTTTGATCTTCGATAGGATTTCTGGTGTGAAGCGCATTGGAGTTTGATTGATTGGCTTTTTTGCAGGCTTGATAGGTAACTTTAATTCCACCAGTTCCCTGCTTAATCCAGGCATCTCTTTGTAATCTCATGCAAAGTAGTCTTTATACTCTTTTAAGAGTTGGATCACTTCGACTTTGAGTTCTAGGATGAGGTTGGTGTTGATATAGGTTGGCCTTTTCCTTTCTCCATCCCCTAAGTTGATTTCTTCCAAGGGATCCTACGCCAGCATCTTGACATTTGTTTCCACGGGATATTTTTCAAAGCCTAAAGGCTCACCATCCTAGATAGCGTCGAACCTCTGGCTTGTCGTGTCAACGTGTGACCTATCAGGTGATTCTGGTTAGAAATCCATTTCAGGTGCTTCTAGATGAACTATTGTTTCTTTGGCTTCTACAACCATGTATCTTACTTTGGCCTACAAGGCCTCTTTTAGTTTGTTTTCAGCTATGTAAGAAGAAATCTTTTCCAAAAATTTAGATTCAGACATAGTCACTGTCTTCGTTACCCCAACTTGTGGGTTAGATGTCATACCCCAAATTATCCCTATCAATTTGATAGTCGTATTATTACTGTGTTTCTAATTATTAGTCACAATATTTAAATTTGTTTGTTTGAGTATTATTTTATAGGGGGTTTAAATGTTAAAGAAGGGTATGTTGCTTTAGTGGACCATCAAAATCTGATGGCTCACTAAGACATTTTGGGTACGGGTATAGATGATAAGGAGGGGTATGTGTTTTTGAAACAACTGGACCATGTCATGTTTTTGGGAAAAGTCCCATATAATTTTTAAAGCCCATTTCAGATTCTCTAGTAAGGGGTATATTTGTTAAAATATACTGGCCCATTTTGAATTCAATAGAAGAAGGGGAGTATGCAATTATTTGAGGGGTGTGGTAATTAATCAGACTGGCCCACCAAAAGTGTTGGGTCCTGTTTTGAGTAAGTGAGGGGGATGTATCAGAGAGGCCAGGAACAAGTCGTTTTAAAGGCCCAAATAATTAAGCACTGGGCCCATTCAGTTTTGGTTATTTGGGAAAAAATGTTTTGTTTTAATTAACAGTTTTATTACAACTAGTTAAAAAATTATACTTGTTGTATTAATTAGAAAAAGTGTTTGATTAAATAAATTTTTTAGTCCAACCCTTTTCACAGGCCCAGTTCAAAAACGCATGGCCCATAATCTAGAACAACTATAATTTAGATCATTGAAGAAGGAAACATCTGATTTATGTTATAACGCACAATGTACAGATTAAGGAAATGAAAAAGCATATTTTAGAGCTAAAAAAAATCATTGTTTAAGTAAAAAAAAATCAAATAAAATCATATCAAAATCTCTTGCATTGTACAAAACATAAATAAAATCAATACAGAATCAAAAATTTATCGTAACAGAATCCAATTTATACAGATTTGTATCAAATTACATACAAAATCTAAACTAATCTCTAACAAATCCCTAACTCTTCTAATTCCCTAAAATTAATGACAATTTCATAAAGATGTTTCCTAATATACCTAATTCTCTAACACTATAAAAACCTAAGAACAAAACAGAAAAAGGAGGAGGAAATTAGACAGAAAAGGAGTATACAGAGACAGAAACTTGAAGAAGGAGAAGAAATCCTCGCTAGGATCTTAGTCAACCCGCCGCTCCATACAAACCTAGGGTTTCAACATCTGAAACCCTAGCTTGCCTTGTCGTGCCGCTGCTGCTCCCATCGCTACCATACCTGCAGACATAAGGAGTAAAGGGAATCATAGATGAATCAAAAGCGGACTCAGAGATCGACGAAGGAGGTAACAAAAACCTAGCTTTTTTCTTGCGTTTTTCTTTGGATAAACTTTTGCGATTGGGGTTAATTAGGGTTGATTTGGGGGTTTGGGGTTCTATAACTCCAGGTTATTGGGGATGGATTACACTGCCGCTGAGATTAGGTTTTAGGGTTTCTTCTGTTTGTTGTTGAGAGAGAGATAGGAGAATGAGTGAAGAGAGAGAGAGAGAGAGAGAGAGAGAGACGAAAATGAAATGAAAATAAAATGAAAATGAAAGATATAACTCTGGCTTGATCCCATGCACGCGATTCCATATATTTACCATATGCCCTCATTATTGTCCGTGTGATCATCATCTAACATTCCCAAACTGTGTGTCCATCATAAGCTTGTTGTTCTCGCCCCCATGCAAGCCAATTGGGTTGTCACAATTCTGTTTTGGGCCAGGCCCAGTCACTAGCTACGCCTCCCTCCGCTTTTGGTTTTACAAACTAGCACAAAACCTGTTGTACCCCAAAATTTTCCCTCTTAATTTCTCTTATCTAGCTTAGGCTTTTGCATTCACCTTCACATAGCATGCATTTTCATTAAATGAAGTGCCTGAGGTTCAAAAGAATTAGTAGTTTGGTAAGCTAGGGTTTTTAAGCTCTTTTGAGGTGTACATAACAAATAATACTATATCTTTTGATTTTCTCTTCAAGCAGGGAAGTATCGAAATTAGGGTTTGGGGTTTGGTTTGGTTTTTGATTAAAGTTTTTGAGGCATTGTGATGTTCATCAAGACTTTGATTCATGTTAACCATTGGAAGAATCATTATTTGGATTCCTTATCAATCAAGTAACTTGGGCCTTAAGTCACTTTATTGAGTCCCTCCATTTCATTCATTCAACATTATTCATCATGTTCGCGTTCATCAACCATTTTTGAAGGCCAAGCAACTCGGACATTTCAAGTTCATATATCATGGAAATTTCAAATTCAATTTTCAATGATTTCATGATCATTTCAAGTTCTTTTTGAATTCAAGATCAAATATTTAAGCTTATGTTAAGGCTAAGGAACACATTATTTTGTGCCATTTCAAGCTATTAAGTATGTACATGTCCGACATGTGCAAACATCATTCAAAATGGATTTTCATTTCGTAAAATGAGGCATTTCCAATTGGTGCAAATCAATTCAAAAGAGATTCAAATTTGGTGCAGGGTGGCAAAATGCTACTTGATCGAATACATGCATCAAGATCATTCAAGTATGGATTCAAAGATCCATTCAAGGTTCATTATAAGTTTCAACCAAGATTCACTCAAGTGTTGATTTAAACTTCAAGTGTTGTTCAAGCTTATTGTTCAGGTTTCATCATCAAGTGCCATTTAATTTCATTCATCTCAAATTCAAGTACAAGCACCATGGTCAAAGATTATGTAATAAGAGAAAAAGAAGTCTGCTTTAGATGAAAATATTTCATCGAACTTCAAAGACTACAAGAAGAGAGTCATTACAAAAGGAGAAGCATGCGTTCATAGGACTTTAATATTACATTACCGAGTTTTCAAGTTCAATACATCATACACCATTTCAATATTACAAAGAAATATTACAAAATGTTCAAGTTCTATTACATCCTTAAAAGTTTCATCGGCCAAGTTTTATCATACTTCACATATCCATTTTCCAAATTGCACCTATCCTCCAAAATTGATGCAAGCTATCCACGATATCCGCTTCATGAACCAGATCCCAAAACGGTTATGTTCGACAATAAAATCAGGCTGCTACATGAACCATCCATGTACTCAAGAAAACTAAACCAATTCCCCTGCTCAAAATCATAAGCAAGAACTCAGAACAGAAAATATAAACAGAAAAGAAAACCATGACTTTTTCAGCTCAGTAGAGAAGAAATAAAGATATTGTTTGAAGGAAAAGCCAGGTTTTATTCATCAATAAATCAGCCCTAGATTTGTTCATACCATAAAAATTAGAAAACAATGGAAAAATTGCAGCAAGTTAGAGTTCACAGCTAACTGTTTTTCTAACCTATAAACTGTAACCGCCCAAATAGGATTTCAAACTGCATAACAAATTTGTTAACCGTTAACCAACCGATCTATAACTGTCAAAGAACTTATAACTGCTCTCATCCTATCCGTATATTCCATAACATAAAGCAAAACTCAGTGTCTCAGAGTTCTTCAATCCTAACAAACTGAAAACATAATATAAAAACAGAGTTACCTCTTGTCGACGCTCATTCTTCAGAATTCACAGAAGAATCACAAAAAAAAGGCTCTCTTCTCCTCCCATCTTCATCTTCCAAACCAGCAGAAGAATCACACCTGAAAAGCTTAGAAAATCTCTCTACATTATCTGATTTCTTTGTTTTTGTTCTTCCATCATCTTAATCCATTCATCAACCGCTAGGATAATCATAACAAAATATCTCAGAAATATCTCATCTTTCTACCATCAAATCTTCTACTTGCTTCAGCATCATCACCATCATTCAATCTTCATCTACTTTATCTTCCATCATCTTTAATGATAGTTCTATAATAAAATCCACCACAACAACAGCATTGTTTCAATCGTAAACAACAGAACATGCGGAAACAAAACGTACAGAAAAAGAAAAAAGAGAAAAACGCAAACGAAAAAGAATCATGAACAAAAGAATTTCTCAGAAGAAACAAGTAGAAGAGATAAAAGTGAAGAAACGAAATCGGAATCTGCAGAATCAAAGAATTGAAAAGCATACATGTTCGAGTTTTCTCTTCTCCGCCGCTGTTGAAGAACCACTGGAGTTCTCTGGTAGGTAAGAATTTCCTCTTCCTCATCATGTACACTATTTTCGTGTCTATTGTTTGAATCGGAGAGCTTAATCGCCATGATAGAGTGAGGCTGAGGTTGAGAATCGGAGATGAGGAAGAGAATGAGATTCGAGACAGAGGTATTGAGTGGAATGCGGTAGAATAAGAATGTGAGGGACGGCAATGAGGTGTCGTGGCTATGATTTTGGATGAAGAGGATGATGATCCGCGCTGTTGAAGAAGGGAGAATGATGATTTCTCGTGAAAGTTGAAGCGTTACTTATGGTAAAAACTATCACACGTGAAACACACATGTTTGCTATCTCTTCTCACTGTTAATTTCTTTTGATTTTAGTTTTTATTTATGTTTTAATATTTATGAAAATTAAATCAAATAAAATTCTGAATTGGACTTGGATTTTTATGGTGTTATTGTTTTGGACTGGATTCTGCTCTCTTATGGCCCGTTAGAACTTTGTCTTGTAAGAAGCTTGCAACAAAAAAAGGTTTGTAGACTCTATCCTGATGGGCCTAGAACCCAGAATACTTCATCACGATTCTAGGTTCATTTTGCACCCCCTGGGTTTGTTTTTAGTATTTGCAATTTCTTTTAAATAATTTTGGTTAATTGTTTAGACTTGTTTGAGTTTTCTTCACGTGATAAAAATAATAAAATAAAATATAAAAATTGGGTATATTTTTTTTATACTTGATTTTGGGAATTAAATCGGGATTATCCGATTACTTGAGATTTGTAATTCACCTTTGCTCGTTGAGATTTGAGTTTTATGCAGGTTTATCATGTTATATGAGGATGTGCTTGAGAATCTGATAATGATTTATTTTCACATCAACGATATTTCGACGCTTATTCCGGGCATTTGATTTCTGACTCTTTTCTTTCCTTGGTGAAGCTTACAAAAAGTTTTTCGGGTTTCTCTGTTTTTGCTCACGGCGTTACGAACTTTTGTTTGTTCGATATTTTCTCTCGTTTACCTCATTTCAGAATTTACCACTTTTTAGAGATCATGTATAGTAGGGGAATTTACCGCTTTCTAGAAATCATGTGAAGTAGGAAGAAGGAAATAAAGAGTGTGCGCTCGAAGTCGCTGGTTAAAGTCCTGTAGTAGGCACCATTTTATGTATGCTAATTGTGGTTGTTTAAAATCATACCTTTGAAGTAGGTATTCCGCACATGTGTTTACATTTGTGCCTGAATTATATTACAGATAATAAGTGCTCAAAATGAGGCGAGAGGGGAGGGTTCGTAATTGACCCTGCATATTCTAGTCTGTGTTATCCTTAGCTCACGTTGTGCATCGATGCTTCGGAGTCGTGCAAATCTTGTTATCGAGTTGTTAAGTGGAAAAGGGATATGTAATCGATACCCCATATTTTGTCTTGAGCTTACGTTGGTCGATGTTGATGCTTTGTGCTTTCATCTTCTACCCCCTCCCCGCTTGTTTGCCTCGGTTGATATGACCCCTTGGCTAAAACATCCCTACTGTATTTTGTACCTACCTCAATCAATTATATCTTAGTTAGGCATTTACCCGAGTTAGCGTGTGTTACTCGTGGCATGTGTGTTCTCTTTTGAGCTTGCTTGTTTTTTTATCCTTGTACATACCATGCTACCTTAGAATAGAAATTTCTATGCTCCCTTAGGATTGCTCGATTATAATATCTTGTGAGCTAGACATTAGGATTGTAATTCATGCATGCTAACATAGGTTAGAGATTTCCCTTTCAAAACTCAACCTTAGGATTAATCATTGTATGATAATATTATGGATACATCTAGGTTAGTCTCCCTTAGATGTTTTTATTTCTTTTGCATCCTTGAATTAAGACTAAAACTTTTTTCTTGGCAAATGCATAAAACATCTAACAACTTTCAAATCCTTCTTTAAGGTAAAAAATATCAACCAATACAAACTTTTTCCGCCTTTTGGCCTTTCTCCAGAACTTGAAAAGGATGTGTTATCTTTCTACTCTATGCAATATGACGCGTAATTCCCCAAGGGTCGGGTTACACCATGTCTACTTACTAAGAGTCGCAACGTAACATCATCCGCCTTCGGGCAGTTTTTCTTTTGAGAACATCTGGTTAGGTGAGAGCATGTTATTTCCTTTCCACTAAAGATGTGTGAGTCTATAATGTTCGAGAAACAGTGGAATAATTGAATTTAACATTATTCATTAAAAAATACAAACAAACCAAAAATATGTGAGCCTAACTACGGTTGCTCCGATTCCTTAAAAGGGATACGTAGGCGTTGGGGTAGGGCCCGAACGAGCACAACATTATTTTTCCCTACATTATTTTATCTTTTCTTTTGCATGCATTCCCTCTTTTAATTTTCTTTTATCTCTTAAGCCTAGATATATATTCTAACACACCCATAAGATAGACAACAATATTTGATACAGTAGAGTACTACAGGCGTGTGGGGTGATAATACCTTCCCCTCACATAACCGACTCCGTTACCCGATCTCTTGGTCGTTCGACCTTGATTTCACCCTTCTCAGGTTTACTCTATGTTTACCTTTCCTTTCCGATGGGATAAAAAATGTTCGATGGAGACTTCATTGATTTCATCATCTCGATGATTTGTTCAGCCAGTTGTTTCAGCTACCGACTTCACTGGGGACAGATTTACCTATTTTTGGTCCATCCCGGAATCGATCCTAGCTCTTGTTTGTTTAATGTTTTGGGTGTTTATTTACTTCTAGTTATTTACAACTTTACATACACTGCTTGCATATGTTTGTGCATGCATTTTATCGCTTTCCATATGTTGGTGGTACTGTTGTTTCTTTGCCTCTCTGTTGGGTAGGTGTTACAAGAGGTAAAAGGCCCAATACCCAGGCTAAGTGACAACCATAGGAACCTTAGGATTAGAGTGGAACATGAACGGTTAGTTGACTTTGGATTTCTAGTACGGTCATGTCGTCCATGCTCAGTTGAGGTTACAAATGAGGTGTTATCATTTCACGTAGGTGTTTCGACAATAGTGGCTTCAGGCGGACCCGTGATTCTGGTTTTCCCTTGCCTTACCCTGACCTAGATTTGACCCATGAGTGGGGCGGGAGTATATCTTACAGGTACACATGGTGACCGTTGTTCTGTTGGTGACTATATGTGTCTCAGATTTATTTTATGAGTTTCTGGCATCTGTTTTCAGGATGGTTCTTTGGTTATGCTCCGGTCCCTTGATCCTGATATATCCAACTTGTTCAGAGATTATACAATGGTTATTCATGGTACTTGGTTGCGTTGTGTTCTTAAATTGGTGTCGAACCTTTGATCTTGTGATATTCGTATTATTCAGCAGGTTTATACAGCAATTACCTAGAGGATTGTAAAGTTGCTATGTTGAACTTTTGAACCTATGATATTTCACTTTACATCATAGCATATTTATTTAAACAAAAAATAAATGTTAAAAATTGTATGCATGAAAAAAGTTAACACACATGTTTTTTCCATTTCCAAGGAATCGTGTGTGAACATTACGTTATGTTTATCCATTGCTTATTGGATCACAATCAAAATTAAAAGAATGTGAGTTCCTTGAATATAATTGGACATGGCATTGCATCCAATCATTCACCTCATGCATCTTCATGCATTCATAACAGGTACTCATAGTGGGGAATTTCTATTCAGGCCTGATATTCTTTTCAGAATTGTGAATCTTGACTTCTCACCACTCCGTTATCTGAAAAAAGCCAGAGAATGATTTCATGGGGAATTGGGTGAGATTAAAAATCAGATGGAGTTGTTTATTATGGACATGCAAGTCTTGGCCCGTAGTTAGGAATCCTTAATGGGGAAAAGTAACCAGTTGAAGACTCTGTTGAATCGGGTATGGAAGTTTTGAAGATAGTGTCAGCAGAGGAAAGTGATCCTATATATGTTGTTGCAACATAAGTTTTCATTCACCCCCAGCCTAATGGACTTTTTTCAAATCGAGTGATACTTTGTGGGTCTCATCCAGAACTTCGTGTTCCCAGATTTTAACGTCAGCAGCCAGTCTTTGGTCATCAAGTGAACCCATGAGGAAAAGCTTATCAAGAAAAGACAAAAGAAACCTGAGACACGGGTTGATACAATCTCTATACCTTGCATCCAACTACTTCCCCGTGTGTTGGAAGCTTAGTCGGTTAAGCTTCGTGCTTTGGGTCATCCTACCATAAATTTCTCTCCTGATTTCGATGCAAATTCAAGATGTGTCTCCTATTCTGGGGTACCTAGTTATGATATTAAACACTGCAAGGGGTTGAAGTATGAAGTTCAGCACCTATCTGACTTCTTTTCCAAATTCCAGTCCATGTTTGGCAAACCATTTCAAACTCTTTCTTCCCAGCTGAATGCTTCTTATGTGTAGTAGAAGATAGGATGATGGTTTTGTGATGAATAAGTATAAGATATAGAGGTCTTAAACATCTGTTGTTGTGTAGAAGGAAAGTACCTCAACGGTCGAGTTCTATATTCAGAGTTTATTTTCTTTTGTGTAGTAGAAGATCCTTTGGTATGGTTGTTGGATGTCTCTTCTTTGTAGTAGAAGATGGTTGGTATTTCTTCTCTATGGTAGAAGATACTTTGTGATGCAGTTTATGCAAGTTTTCTTGATAAAGCATTCATCACTTTTTTCAGGGAATATCCTTCATGATTTCCATGGTATGGCCCTTGGCCATTCAACTAAAGGTTATAGACCATTCAAAGATGAAGTGTAAGATTTGCTTGATGCAAAAGCTATCATTCTCGCACCAATTGGTCAGATTTGAAGTTTCTTTTGACTCAGTGAATGTCAAGACTGCCAGAGCATCGTCTGAAGCAACAAGTCCATACGGAGAATAGTCTCCTCAATATAGAAATTTCAAATTACATTTGCATTCTCATTTGTAATTTGTCTTGTTTGGTTCAGTACTTTCTTGTATGCAAAGTTGCTTATTCTTGAATATTAATCATAATGCATTGAATATGTTTGTCTTGAATTAATCCATTTGTATTTACTCATTAATTTTTTTCTTTTCTTTTTGATACTTAACTCTTGTTAAATAAAGAAAAATA